GCCCTCAGACTGCCCGAGTCGTGTAATAAATACTGGTTATTGTGGCACACAGATTTATAGTTCAACCTCTCTGCTGTTCATGGATTACAGTGCTCCGAGTTAAAAATTTTAAGTTCAAGTCTTAATTCCAACTTAGTCATTTGCTACCAGGAACAAAAATTGATTAGGAAAATAAACTGGCGAGTAAAGTTTTTGAAAGTTTCACACAACAAACATCCTATCATTAAGGCTTGATACTCGGACAACTGGGTAAGAGGTAAATAGCTTTTTTTTTTTATTTAAGAAAACGATGGAGAAATTTAAAACAGTATCGAACGCACATGTTTGTCGCACGTTTACACTGGATCTTTAGCACTTAGTAATTAAAACATCACAGCATGCTAGGCGGTAGCCAAACAGAGATCGTCAACTTGGGCGACTTTTGCAAGAAATTTAGTCGCCAAAATTTCTCCTAACCGCCATGGCAACCAAAACGCTCAGAGCTTCTAGCATTGGCTTATGAGGAGCCTTCTTTGTCACCAGGAAAATGTATATCGCCGAGGAGCAGCAGAAGATCCTTGAACTTCACCACCTGGGAGACGTGAGAATTCATTTACATTTTTATTAAGTGGTATCACAGGGGGCCCAGACAAGCGACGAGTCTGGTTGTTTATTCGAAATATAAAGGAATGTATGGGAGAATGTTGAAGAGTCTTATTATCGTAAACTTATATTATGAAATGTCTGAGTTAAAGCTCAAAATAAATTTAAACCTACCTCACTTGCTGTGTATTGTCGTTTCCGTGGCTCTAAATGGCGAATTTGAGCAATTTGGTGGGTTTTGTGTCGACTGTTACTATACGTATTACGTATAGTAACATACATTCTTTTATATTTCGAATAAACAACCAGACTCGTCGCTTGTCTGGGCCCCCTGTGGTGGTATTTGGTAGATAGTGAAGGGGTAAGTTAGTACAACGAAAGGTGCATTTAGTGAATACGTGCTCTAGTAGAAGGGGAATTCATCTGCGATCGATCCCATTGAAAATTAGTCCACCATGACAGGTTCATATGTATCTTATCCTTTACAATTGGATAGCAAGTCTTCATTTGGAGAGTGCTGTTCCATTGAACTAAGTGATGTTGATCTCAAATTGTTAAGTCTCTTACGTTTCAATTTCATTTAAACACTTTTTTTAGTTGAATCCAAGTTGGGAGAATGCTCGACAAGAGATCCTTGACAACCATTTCAAGCTCATCTGCGCTTACAAAGGCAATCTTCAAGAACTTGTTCCTTTACAAGGTTCGTTGTAAGAACTATACGGATTTTTAAAAGAATGTAAGGAATCACCTCATGGCCGCAAGTGATGTGGGTGCAGATGATTTTCGTAGACCCCTCAGAGTTACCAACATCTAATTTCTCCTTACAATATCACCCCTGAATCACACATTAAGGTCAGGAGAATAAAGAAAATGATCATCAACTAAAGAAGCTCTTGATTGTTAAACAAATTCTCCTTGTCAGCACCTAAGGAAATGTATATAGAACAGTGTGGAGAATCTGTTTACTGACGTTCGGGTGTAGGAGGTTAAACTGAGACTTGTACTTATTTGTTTTTAGGTACATGTTTCAAGCCTGCGAGACTCAGAAATGATAAGAAACTGGCTTTTATTCCAATTAATCTGCACATTCAGCGAACGAAGGTTATGCAGGACACTGAGGGAGGTAAGAAGTTTGTAGAAGCGTTCGTGTTTATTTCTGATGAACGTCTCATTAGACGCCCCTTTCTCGAGGAGGAAATCAGTTTAATCGAAGCTGACAAGAGGTGAAAAGTGAAAGGAGACAAAACGAATTGCAATCACGCGAAACACTCAACGCGGGAAAATAGGTGGTCAGCGGAAATTGTGCGGTTCCGACGTTTAGACAGAGCCGAGCGCGGATATAACGGAGCTGGTGCTAAGGGCGGGAAAAGTTGTTACTATTACCAAGCGCGGGAAAACGTGTGACCAATACCAGACGCACGAAAACATGTAAACACTGTCATACGCTGCAAAAGTTGTAACCGTTGTTAAGCGCGGGAAAACTTGAATTCTTTGCTGAGTACGGGAAAACTTGTAACCGGTGTTTTGAGCAGGAAAGCCTTGTAACTGGTGTTAAGCGCAGGAAAACTTGTAACCGGTGTTTTGAGCTGGAAAGCCTTGTAACTGGTGCTAAGCGCGGGAAAGCCATATACGTCAATAGAACACGGTGACGGACCCTCCTTTTTTCGTGTCGTACAATGTTGATAAAATAGAGTTTTTAAAGGCAGCTCCGAAGTTTCAATGATGAATGAAGTGTGCCTTTTTCTAGCAGGAACGTTGTATGATATGGTCACCGTTGGTGCCCCAGCTGCTCATACGCTAAAGTTTGGCCAGGGAGGACTAAGGCGACTGTACATGACGCTCAGGAAGGCACAACAGAGGTATGCTTACCTGATAGAGTCAGTGAAACCAACCCAACAAGCATGCATTGACGTCCATTCTACAGGTCCTAAGGGGACCCCCTCAAAGTATCAAATGGTCATTCTAACAAATTTAATTGACTTTCAGTGGTGGGGAGAGTGAAAACAAAGCTCCGGTGGTGAAACAGCTCAGAGGTGAGTGCACGAAGCGAGGGAAAGAAAGAAATGGATCGATATCCACTATAGAGCGTCGTTGCATAAGAACATCCCTTAATGAGTAAACTGGCTGATATTTCGGCAATGGCTGCGTTCACAAAGACCAATCGTGTGTATAAAAGGGTGTTTTACGATTTCACAACACATGTTTTCCGAATTAGAGAGTGATCGTAGTTAAAGTGCATTCAGTTTTTTTATTACACGACTCGGGCAGGGCCAATAACTAAAATCAACCTATCAAAATGCTCTATTGCCGGTCAATATTCTCTCAGTATTGGACCGGGCACTGTCCCGAATGGTCCCGAATGATACCGCACTTGTGTCCCTTTGAACTTCAGTCGTATAATAAATCTCTTATTAACCAAGCTTGCTCGGGACCGTACTGGAAGAATATCGGCCCTCGGTCTTTTTTGTACGGACCACGCTGCGCTCGGTCCGTACTGTCAAGACCTCGGGCCGATATTCTCCCAGTACGGCCCTCGCGCTTGGTTAATAAGATATATGTAGTAGATCGGAATATGAAAAATGTGGTTGGACTTCTCCGTTTCGAGAAGCTTTCGTAAACTCCTCGTTTGTTCTTTTGTAGTTAATTTGGAAAAATTTAAATCCCAATTGAGCCAACATTGTGAAAGTGTCAAGAAGTAAGTCGTTAAATTTTGATTCTTATGCTGTAAGTAAGAGAATGTTAAAAGAATATTTAAATTCTTACTTTCTTTCTGAATGGCATACCATGATTGCTTTTATAAAGGGGTTAGAGTTCTTAGAGAATAAAAAAAAAGGGTGGTAGAGGATTATTTAGGTAAGTTATTTAGATGTTGAAAATGACATTTTCGAGATAGGAAACACAAAAAATGTTTAGGTACGAAAAGCATCAACGATTTTTAACAACTATAGGACGAACCTTTTAGGTTGGGTATTTTTCTTTTTCTTTTTCTGTTTTGGTTTATATACTTATTTAATCTGATTCTGTATGCAACTGTTATCATAATAACTTTGTGAATTTTATACCAATTTTATTCCAATATCTTAGCGGTAAACATCCCTTTGTTGCTTCGTTTTCTAGGGCCATCAGATCGAGAGATGTGACAAATCTGATGGATACCATGTCGCGTCTTTCAGACAAGGTATGGAAAAACTGCAAATATTGAACGTTTGATAACATACTTCATTATTAGTGGATGCAACCCGCCACCAATGTGAAAAGGGTCCAGTGGTCCGTTGATTAGACCTTGCTTTGTTTTCGTGCGTTGAACTCCATCACGTTCTTGTGTTGATTGGCCGAGAAAAACTCGCGTCTTCACCTGAACCAATCAGATCCAACCTAAAACCACTGGCGACTTGGTCACTCAGTTTTCCACGCTGGGGACAAGGTAACCCCAATTAATAATAATAAAGCTTGCGTTGTTCCTGTGCGTTGAACCCAATCGCTATTTCGTGTTGATTGGTCGAGAAAACTCGCGCGGTAGTTGGATGCAAAACCAATAATGACTGAGTCACTCAGTTTCCCGCGCTGGGGAGCGGTTTGGTTTTGTGACTTTTGTTCTCATGAGTTCGTAGCAGAGCACTTTATGCCGACATTACGTCTGTATACCAAAGCTTACACTGAACTTGGTACAAGAAAATCAATACGTTGATGGGGTATTCTGGGAAGGACTAGCCTTCCAATCCTGAAAAACTATCAATCAAGCATGTATATGCTTTAGTCAGTTCACCTTTTTATATTTTTCTAACGTGCTCAATTTTGTTTCCTTTGTTTCAGATTAGTTAGTAGATGTAAGACTAAGGAAATCAAATCAAAGTAAATCTGCTTTGGAAATTTTAAAACCAAGGCAAAAAACTTTGTCGCGAACTCGTATAGAACGATGGACTAGCGTGCTATCAAGAGAAGGAATTTAATTTTCCTTGTCGTTCGTGTTTAAGCCTCTTTTATTTTCTTTTATGTAGGCAACACAGTTATTAAAATTTCGTGAAGCACCTCTGGTCGTAGATTCTTTGGCGTCGCTGGAGAAAGCTGTGCCTTCTCCTAAAGAGGAGGATTCGCCGACAGACGGAGGTATACCCTTGATAAACACTGACTCTATTAGCAGTTTAGTCCAGATAAAAATTAGATTGGATCGAAGGTGTCGAAAATTTTTCCTGGCTGCAACAAACCTACCAATTCTTTTTATTTTATATCTTATTTTATTTACAAGACTGTAAGGCTAGACACAAAACTCACCATTTATTACGGAGTAGACAGCGAGCAGCGCAGCCAATCAGATTACTGCATTGCGAGCGAACGCTAGTATATTTATACTTAAGTTGAAGTTCATTTATTTGTTTAAGCAGGTTGATTAATTGGCAGCTGTAATAGCTGATGTGGACCTGCTGTCTTAACCCACCCATCCCACCCCAGGGGAGGACATCCATCACACAGTAATCTCGTGTGTGGGAAATTAACGTCTCCTGCCCCAACCCTGCAGGAGACGGGACCTCCATTTATTTGTCCCTATCCNCTGCCATTACTGCCATTGGCAACTAAACTAGTGATGACAATTAGTTATAGTTTTATTGCACCTACTGAACTGGCGTGTGGGAACCGCGTTTTAGAGATGAAATCTAAGACTCAGCACAAACTCATCGGAAACGTCATGATAACTGACATCTCGAAATTCTTTGGTTTTTGTCTTATTTGCATGATTTTTTATCTCCAAGCGTTGATTCGTTTTTATTTTGTTTTGTTTTGTTTTGTTTTTTTTTAATACTGTTCACAGATAATTTCTGGAATGTCCAGATATTTACCAAACCAAGTGCTAAGTGCCAGGTAAAGTATCTGGGCGGAAATAATTTGGAAATTTTCTCTAGTGGATATAAGTGTAACTGGTGACAGTTTTCACCTTTGAAACAAAATTGTCAAGGCCCAAGTGTCACATTTACCTGAGCCCGCGTTTGCAAGCGGTCATTTGGAGCAGATGTAAGAAGTCTCGTCTCCATTTGAATGACTTCGGTGGGAAATGTTCTTTCCTTTAAAAACGAAACCTTCTCCCCTTCATTTGTTTTCGTGTAGGAACTGTCGACTCTCGTCGATCAGAGCCTCGTCATGATGCAGAGTCACATGGAGAGTATGATTCAGAATGCTCAACCACCTGAAGGTACAGACGCATTATGGGAATGAATTAATTTTTTTTTTCTTTGTCCGAAATTGAAGCTGATGACCCCTTTAAAATGCTTTCCTCGATGACTGTTAAAATGATGTCTTATAAGCAACACAGCTCTCATATTTGAGCTTGCAATATGTATTTGTCCTTTTTTACAGGAAAGTCCTGGGAGGAAGTGATTTTGTCTGAAGTGCATGATTTTTCTAGAGCAGTGGACGGTCTAGTCAAGGAGATATATTTGGGAATGATTTTCCTTCAGTTACAGGTACGTTTATACTATGAAGAATACTTTGTGGTCATTGGTCATTCTCTTTTAACCATTCGACCTCGAGAAGCGATGGACAAATAACGTCCTTTGACAATTTCAATGCACAATTGATAAAAATTAACAGAATATTAACTGTTTGTATTCTCGTGTTACAATATACACTCTTATCAGTTACGGATGATATTTTTGATATAAAACAAAATTCTCTTAATGCACTGTGGACAATCAGAATACGTTTTAGGTTCTCCTCTTCATGGGAGCAAGGATGGCGCAGTGGTGAGAGCACTCGCCTCCCCCCACTGTGGCCCGGCCCGGGTTCGATTCCCAGACCTGGCGTCACATGTGGGTTGAGTTTGTTGTTGGCTCTCGTCCTTGCTCCGAGGGTTTTTCTCCGGGTCCTCCGGTTTTCCTCCCTCTGCAAAAACCAACGTTCCAAATTCCAGTTCGATCTGGAAACTGTGGACAAGGAAGAGCCACCCAGTGGAAGTCCACTGCTAAATTATTCATTTATTTATTACGTTTCATACCATATTATTACAGGAAGAAGCAAAGCACGCCTCTTTACTGTACGAAATACGAAGAAGGCAGGATATTGTTTTCTCTCATGCAGTGAGTATTTGTAAGCGAGATAGGATGGTATCCCTTACATTGACAATTAAAAAATTTGTACCACATCGGTTCTTGGCTCTTTGAGGTCGCTTGGGTTGCTTCGTGACGTAAATGCGCCTTTTCCTAGTTATTTTGGTACAGTTACGTTGTTGAGACATGGAAGCCTAGTAATGGAAGGTCTGGGTTCGAGCGCTGACCGGTTCATGGACACTTTCCTCTCACACTGCCTTCTCCTCCAACCAGAAGTGGGATAACTGTTAAAGAAAAACCTAACAATACACTGGGAGAGGGGGAGGAGTGAAATGGTGGGGAAGGGGTGGGTGGGGGAACCAGCGATTGACTCCAATCTCATCAGGGTCGATTATAAACAATCTCAGTAGTTTCTTGTTGTGAAAATGGGATAAGCTCCAGCATTAATTTGGTTCTTAAGGCTTAAAACAACGTGATTTGACTTTTGACCGGTATCCATATGTGAGTATTTTTGGGGGTGTCTGTTCGCAGGTCACAGCTTTGGTGGCTGGGTTTGTATCTAAACTTCACACATCATTCTCCAACGCTGTGTTTCTGAAGCAACTTGTACAGATTGGGTTTCTGGCACATTTTGAGAGCCTTCTTACTACAAATGGTATGAAATGCTACTTTTTTCTTTTGTGATGTTATGGACAAAGGAAGGAGGTCTCAAATTTCTGAGTCAATTTTGCGTGACACAGGCGTTTTTGTCTGTTTTTTGTCTTCTTTTTTTGAAAATTTTTCGCCAAAAATTAGCGCGCAGCTGGCGAAATTTGATCAATTTTCGTATGCCCGACGTTTGACCGTTGTGTTAGCAGTGTGATGTCTCTAATTTAGATGAACTGACTAGAACGCCCATTTCAATTTTTTTTTTTAATCGTCCTACTCGCATAATGGGGAGATGTTATTTTTTTGGCATTAGATACAGGTAGCGGGAGGGACAGCTGTGTTAGTTCACAGATAAACGTAGAAGGCCTTCAGCGATAAAATCTAACTCATCTCTTACTGTGACCCCACGTATACGATATGCTTTATATCACGTTTATGGTTGTTCTGTCTGAAGGAGATGAAATGGGAATGCTTGAAGACATGTGTGTGAGCATAGGTAACCTAACGTGCGTCAAATTTAAGGTGACTTCAACTTTGTTCTTGTAGTTGTATCAGTGTAAGACTTCTTTAACAGAAAGTTGGTGAGAAATATACTCTCAATGCAACAAGATGCGAAAACCCTTGTAGAAATGGTTGAAATGCTACATTTTTTTAATGGAAGGAATTTACAAAATACATACCTACATAGAGTTTTAAATCTTTTGAAAGGATAGATGAAAATGAAGATTTTAGATAGAGAATACAGATCTTAGGCATGCAATTTATTACTGTCGAACTTCTTCTATATTCTGTTCTCCGGCTCGATTGCTAGATTTTGTTAAGTGTACCATGACTTGAATAAAGCATTTTTTTTTTTTTAGTTCAAATTGTGTGAAAGAGAAGATGAAATCCCAACCTTAAGTGGTAATAGGTAAGATAAGAACTTTTTGTGCGTTTGCTTATAGTTAGCTCAGAATATTTCCGGTGGATTTGTGGAATGATAAGACACTCTTTGCTTAGTCACGTGGATATATTAGTTTTCGCACTTCCTGCTGTCCTCAACAGGCAAATGGGCCTTAGGTAGGTGATAAAAACAGAAATAGAGTGCTTTTGTCTTCCCACCCTCGACAAAACGTTACAGATTTTCCCATGCTTCTGTCATCCCCGCTTATGACAAAGAGTGACAGGTTTTCCCGTGCTTTTATTCTCATCCCTTGACAAAAAGTTACTCGTTGTTCCTTAATAGTGTCATCCGTGCTCTTGCACGCTTCGTAAGAGATTCGTATTGATATCTTAATGTTGCAACTTCATGAACTGAGTTTTTCTTTCTCAGATCTTACATTCAAGTAAACGTGTCACTTCCGCCTATGCACTTTCGGAGACTTCCACGTGACTTACAGGAAGGTCGGCTGGTCAAGGTTATTCCAGTGCTCTTTACACAAGGCATCAATGAACACGCTACACTGGCCGAAAGGTAACCTTGTTATGGGTGATGTATAAGTTCTCCTTTCAGATTGTGTAAATGGCCCGTTTGGAGAAACAAGAATCTGACCAATTCGAAGATTTGTTTTGTTAACCTTTACGGAGGTTATCGGATAGAGAGCTCAAAGAACCTCAGTATTCAAGGTAATAAGATAGTCGTAATGGAACTTGCGTGATTTACGAGAGGAACAAGTCACGCAACCCTTTTAGTCACGGGATGATATCCAAGATGATATGCAAAAGGCGTAGTGTGTAGCCTCATAAGACTTCTTACGTAGTTTATTGATTATGATTGAAGCCGACGACGGACTGGTTATCCTTTGGACTTTTCCTTGGACCTTTTATTAAAGATATTCACTGCAGAATATCTCATCCTTCTTTGCATCAAGGTCATATTTGATCATTTTCCTCTGACAGATTTGGAGATACCAGTCTACAGGAAAAGATCAATGGTGATAACTATAGCATCCTAAACTTTTATCTAGAACAGTTCAAAGACAAGTTTCCCGACGCAAGTAAGTTGCAGTTCGTCTAATGTAGCCACCTTATCTGCTCTTTCAGTTCTTCCTTAACGCTTGACCTCTTTCACCTTTTCTCCTCCCTGCCTTCGTCTTCCTTTTTTGCTATCTCGCTCCCCTCCTTTACCCCCCGCTTTCCACCTACTTCCTTCCCCTCATTTCCCCATTTCGACTCTCCCCCTCTTTTTTACCCTCTCTCCTCCTTTTTTATCTGCCCCCCTCCTTTCTTCCTCCTCTCCACCTCACAACTCTCTTTTACCTCCCTCCCACTTCCCCCAACCCACTCACTTTCCTCCATCTTCTTCCTCGCTCCCTCCCCCCTCTTTTAACCCCAACTTCCTAATACTTATTTCCCTCAATTTCCTTACCCCAATCCTTCCTCTTCCTCCCTCCTTCTTTGTTTTTTTTTTCCTTCTGATCCTCCGTTGGCCGCTAGGAAAGTTCTTCTATTGTTGATATTTACGATTTTTGAGATAGTGATATGATTCATTTAATGTCTCCTTTATTTAATTCCAATCCTACCAGTCTCCTCCAGAAGGGAAGGTGATCAAAGTGTGGAGCAATTAATGAAGTCCTTGAAATCAAACATCGAAAGCAGAAGAGGGAAGAATGTGGACATTCTTCTCATCAGCGAAGCGGTATTGCATATTAGAGTGCATTTTGATTGAGTTTTGTAAAACCAGAATTAAAATTATCATAATGGCCAATTGGAGGAAAGGAAAACATTAAAAAATGCAAATTACCTGAAGCGCGGAAAACAGTGACTAAGACGCTGGCTTTCTGGACCAATCACAGCGAAGAAACGGAAAACCAAAGCAATACTGTATTACTTACGTCACGCAGTTGAAAACTTCTCAGTATCATTTAACACTTGCGTATCAAGTGCGGGGTGGGGGGTGGGGGGGGTAACACTGTCGGATCGAAAGGTTCAAGGCTCACAGTAACTCTCCTCCCAGAATCCAAATGAACACCGACGAGTCGTCGAGGAAAACTTCACGAAGTGTTGAACTTGGATTAGCTGCGGCCAATTGTGTCTGGGGTGAAATCTCGATTAGGGCGAACTAACACATTTTTGTCTTCATTTTTCACAGATTTGTTGGAGGTTAAACGGGTGCCGTTTCATGAGTTGTAAAAGCGCCAAAGACCGAACAGGAATGGGAATCACTTTGGAGCAGTGCATGATCCTCAAACGGGAGCACAACATGGACTCACAGTTTTTTCAGCAAGCCTTAGACGCTATGAGAAGGTAACGTAAAAGAGCGTGACCAGCGACGAGTGTTAGTGTCTATATGATCCCCTTAGAACAAATCGTCGGACTCTATTGCACGACTTGAACCAATCTCGAGTGAGTCGCCCTTTTTTTCCCGCGCTTCAGGCGGTTTGCCTGTTTTTACTGTGAGTTCTTATTGGTTCCTTGTGATAATTTCCTGTGTTCTGATTGGTCATTTCTGCTCTGATGATTTTATTCCGCGCACAGAACTTGACAAAAAGTAGAAACTTAGGAACAAGTAAAGTTGCTGATTTACGTAACAAGTTTTCATTATCACTGTCCGTTTTATTCACCACCCTTTACCTCTTTATTGACCACTCAACACTGTATAAATTTAGTTTTGTTTTTTTTGTGTTACTTTTGTGTTTCTCAGTGAGGGGACAAGGCGAGAGAATACCCACAAAAACACTGGAATACGAAGATATGCTTTCAACTCGTGGCAAGTCATGGCTTTACCCAAACTCTACCGACCTCCTGACGGTACATACGGAAAAAATGTACAGACTTGATATACACTTCAGTGGAAAGCAAGTCATGAAAAAGACTCTATACCATAATCAATGCGGGATTCATTTCACGCAATTTCCTTAAGTTAAAATGTCACGCGTTCTTTTCGAACGTTTTGTAAACTTGTCACGCAATGCTCTCCTTAAATGGCGCGAAAGTATGATGCAGGATGTCATGAAAACCTTTCCAGCCATTCAAATGAGCATGCTTCGATTGTTCTGTCTTTTCACAGAAACATTTTTTTAACTCTTAGGAAAAGAAAACTTACAAATATTCCCCTCCCCCCTTGATACTTTTGTAGATTTGCCTGGTCTTACCGCGGATAAGAATCGGAAATTCTTTGTGTATCTCTAACAATTATTCACCGACACTATGGTGAATAGCTGTTTTAGCATAAACTTAGCATAGACCTCAAAGAAACCAAAATGGAAATTTAACTCTTGACGCCCGATCTTGTCTTTTCGAAAGGAATAGTACTTACTAATCAGTTCCAAACAAGCTAATCAGTGTGCGCGAAAAGCACCATTTACTTGTGTGGTATACACGTACTTTGATTAGCGTCGGCGAGAGGTTAGAAGTAAAGAAAAAGGGTGTATTAAGAATTAAATTATTTAAGATTCAAGGTCATCTGGAGTAGACACAGAGATAATAGGTTTTTTCTAAATTGCTAAAATGTACATATATATTTTTTTAATTCTTTTCCAAAATATATTTTAGGGCGAATGTTTGAAAAATTTTTGAGAATCTGAAAATTCATTACTCTGAGTTTGTATTCCAGTAATGTTTGGAGAGCGGTCGAAAATAAAGATTACATTTTCTGAAAATAATTGTATATTTTGAAATGAAAACTATATTCAATTTGAATGCACAGGAATTTAAGAGGTTAAGGAAGACTTAGAATGATGGTGATGAACTATTTTCAGGCTACTATTGTTGAATTATGAATAAAAAGAAGTTATTTCATTCAAGATGTGGTCATCGTATGAAGGTAGTCTAACGTTTTCGAATCGAAAACCCAGTCATACCTTTTACGGTAGTACATAACCGTTGAGGCTAGCGGAACTGGTCTTGTTTATCGCTTGGTGGAGAGGAGGACTTGCTTGTGTCACAATAAAATTAAGCGGATCCCCC